GGGGGGGGGGGGGGGGGGGGGGGGGGGTCATTTTGTTGTTAATGTCTACTCTTCCACTTAAAAAGTGGATCTTTCGTGGACGCTCGAGTAGCCTATTGACATTAATGTTTCCCAAATTAATTGCATCTGTTCTTCCATTCTTGGATACATAATCTTAGATTGATACTGACTTATTTTTCATTTCGAGTAGACAGATAGAGCTGCAATGCTCGATGAAATAGTGGACTACGTAAAGTTTCTACGTCTCCAAGTAAAGGTGAAGTAATATTCCTTCTGACATTTTACCTGATAAGTTAGAACTTGCTGTTTAACATATATGAAGATTGTTTGTACATTCAATCCCTTTATTCTCTGGGTCGAATTGACCAATGTCTTAAATGTTTCTACTGAAGCAACAAAAGAAATCATTTTAGAGATCATATACTCATAATCAAATTGAACTTATATTTCTTGTTAAACGAACTTGATCGTTCGAGTACTGTAGTCTGTAGAGCCAGTTAATTTCCAACTCCTTGTGCAAGCGTATTTCACTCTTTATATGGATTGAGGCAGCTAATAAACTTCAAAAGTATGGCTGTGGCTGTTATTTAAAGTGACTGCTTGTGCTCATAGTTCAAGTTTTGCCCGTTTTTCTCCCTCATTTTTCGGATGTAACAGTCACTTCTCATATCCTACTTTTTTAGGTATTTATCCAATGTTGCATTTATCAACTTTGCAGGTTTTAAGCATGAGTAGATTGGGTGGAGCTGGTGCGGTGGCACCACTTGTAACGGATATTCCACTATCATCAGTTGAGGTAATGAGATGAAAAACGAAATCTTTGACTTTAAAGTCTGTTTGATAGTGTTTTTACTTTTGGGTTTCTGTGGCTGCTTGATATCCGAAAACAAAATCGTTATGAAATGGGGTCGTATCTTGATGATTTGTTCTTAGTTACTATCCTTGTTGCATCCTAGGAAGAAGGAAGTGAGGGTGGTAGGAACCAACCTGCGTGGGAGAAGTGGTCGAACGACGGTACTGAGAGACAAGTTGCGAAGCTTATGGAAGAAAACGTGGGTTCTGCGATGCAATTCCTTCAATCAAAGGCACTCTGCATCATGCCCATCTCATTGGCTTCGGCAATTTATCACACGCAACCGCCCGATAGCTCGAGCGTTGTGAAGCCAGAGAGTAATCCTCCTCCATAGAATCGCCACGATCCTTAAAGGAAAATGGGTAAAAAAATAGGAAGAAAAGAGAGAATTTACGGATCGGTGTTGGGTCCATGCCTGCTTCTTGTCGTCGCAACACTCATGTTGTTCCCCTTCACTTGTGGTGGGTATTGGTATTGCAATCAAAGTCAGATGCCATAGTTATATTGCTTTTTAAGATTACTTTTGTAGCTTTTGTCAAAACATGGATCAATGTCAATGCCCTAAAAGATGCAAGCAGGCCTTTCAGGTCTTGACAAGCTGAACTAAAGCAAGTAGAATGTGTCAAAGCTTTACTTGATATGCTCTTCTTTTCTTGTTTTTGCATCAATGGGTGGAGGGAGTGGTGGGATATGACCAAAGCACCTTTGTTATGTAGTGGGTTGTGGGACCCTGTAAAAATATGAAAAAGAATTCTTCCTTTTCTATTTTTTTTTTGTGTATTTTTATTGGATGATGTACCTTTACAAGGAAATGCACAAGTTTGAAATGGAGAGTAGTACTTAGTTTCAAAAAGAAAAAAAAAAAAAAGGTTTAATTATAGATTTTAGAGCTTTTAATTTTTTTTACTTAGTATCCATCTATGCTTCACATCGTTTGGTACGAAACATCATATAAATTAGTCTAATATTCATATAACGGTCCAAGTTCACTATGAGTAAATATTGTTTTTTGGTCTTTTCCTTTCGAGTTTTCTCTCTGGGTTTTAAAACGAGTTTGTTAGTGAAAAGTTTCTACACCCTTATAAAGAATACATTTTTTCCCCTCTTCAACTAATGTGAGATCTCACAATTCACTCATCTTCGGGGTCCAGCGTCTTCACTGACACTTGTTCTCATCTCCAATCAATTTGAGATCTCACAATACACCCTCCTTTGGAGTTCAACATCCTCGTTGGCATACTGCCAGACATTCTCATCTCCAATCAATTTGAGATCTCACAATACACCCTCCTTTGGAGTTCAACATCCTCGTTGGCATACTGCCCGATGTCTGGCTTTGATACCATTTGTAACTAGTTGTTATTGTGAGACCCCACGTCGGTGTGAAAACAAAAGAAAGCATCTTTACAAGGGTGTGAAAATAAAACATCCATGTGACTTAATTGTCATTCTTTAAAAAGTTGTGAAAACTTCTCCCTAGTAGACACGTTTTAAAATCTTATAGGGAACTCCTCGAAGAAAGTCTAAAGAGGACAATACATTAAGTCCACATCACTGAGATTACAACAATTCTACTAAATTTATAATTAAACTTTGAAACAAAAGGAAGCATTATGTTCAAAATTCAGGAGATGGTGCTTTGCTGTGTCCGCCAAAGTTATCAAAGACTTTTGTATTCTCATGGATCATTATTGGGCAAATAAATCATTGAAGAGAGAGAGAGAGAGAGAGAGAGAGAGAATGTGTTTGACCCATAAAGCTTCTTTTTTTTTTTTTCTTCTTTTTTCTTTGAGCATTTCTTGGTTATACATAAGGAATAATAAAAGCAGTCTTAAGCAACCAAATTATTGGCTGAAGCAAACAGGGTTAATCCTTTGGTATCTAAAGTTGGCACATAAATTGCTTGGTTCTCATGGTTTTGGTACTTGCAGAATTTTCTCTTTTGCTCCTGACATTTTCTAAACTTCTCCTTTTTAATCATTTTTCTTTTAAAACGCAACGTTTACATGAAAGATTAAAGATGAGTATTATTTACAATTTATTCAATTAATGTCACACACAAACAAATATTTCAACATACCATCATGAAAGGTACCGACCCATAAGAAAAATTTGAATTACTATCAATCTAACATGTAGCACATCAATTTACAAACCATACAAGCCAGGAACCACGAGAATCTTTCCATATATATTTGGTTAATACCCTGTTGGAAACAATTTAAAGGAATCCAGAGTCGGTTCATTAAGATGGGAAATCAAAAATTGTTTACAAAGTTAGCCATTTTGGCTTCCTGATCATCAAGAGAACCCATTCTCATGTCCAATAGTGCAAGCTGGGACTTCACCCAAGGTGGATTATTCCTGCCCTCAACCCACAAGGCTTCCCCAGTGTCCTTGTGTTTAAAATCTGGATATTTTGGGTTCTTCTGCAAGCAGAATCAAAATGCGGGTGTATTAACATTAAAGAGTGAATCTCATCTCTCCTTAAGGATTCAAGTGAATCATATAGTGAAGGGAACCTAAAAATACTAACAAAAGATGACGGTTAGGATGTCTAAAATGGCCTGCAAAGGGAGGCTAGTAATCCTTTTTCTTTCCTTTTTCAAGCATTAAGGCCCACCATTTCATATATACAATAAATAATAATATTTTGATATGATAACTAAAAAATAGTCTGCTGATGACTGTTGGCTCAAGATTCAACTCTTCTCCCAGTTCCCCTCTTTTGGAATTTCAGCCTCTTAGTTGACAAAGGTCTGTCAAAGGATGACATATTTTCAACAAATGGACCAACCAAAAAGTCGATGTTTGGAGGATGTGCTCGAATAAAACAACAAATCCATGGTGAGTCTTACTAGTGAGGAAATGGATTTCAATTTTCCAATTGACAGTGGGAATGATAAAATTTCATCTGAACAAGATATTGATAGGGTTCTATGCAAAATTTCTCTAGAAGAAATCAACCTCCCTCTTAAATTATTTCTCTGATACAAAGTCCCACTCCTCCATTCATGTGAACACATTATGAGATAATTTTTCCTCCCTCCCAAGGGTCTGTGGTCTTGAGGTTTACGAGATGAAATCACAGACATTAAGAAGTTCAAGTTTTCAAGCATATGGACTCCTAGAGATTTCATCGTCTTCGTGGCTGTGCTTTTTTTTTTTTGGGATCTTTGGTCTTGTGGAAGCTTGCTTTTTCTATGCCTTGTGCTGGCTCCTTCCTTTGTTGTTGCTTTTGCCTTTTTGGCATATGATAAGTTGTTTTTAGTCTGCTCTGTTTTCAACTTGGTTGCTTTTGTTTTGTGCCTTTAGCAAATCTTTACAGCCTCAATTACACTCGGTTCCTTTGCTGTTGAAAATGCTGCCCTCACGTTGTTTGCATAGATTTTCAAGCTATTTGTCACGCACAGTTGTGAGGTTGCACCTAGTTTTCTGGTATTTGAATATTTGTAGCTGTAAAGTATGTAAATATCCATCCAACAATTTTTCAGAAAGCTCTGATTGAAGATTCTTTTGGCAGTGTTCCTGTCGACTGTGTTTGTTTTAACCTTGTTTTTAGCTGCGGCTGCTTTAGGGGTGGTTTGTGAAGCCTTCTTCACTTCAGCCTTGATTTGCAAACTCTAAAAGTTTTTGGTCCAAAGAAGGCGGAGTGTTTTATTAGATAAATATATTGTTCGCAGGGTAACCACTATTTGCTTGTGTTCGGCTCAAAGTTTTTGATTTTTCCTTTTTCTATAAATTCTTGATTTTGTTTTTTTTTTCTTTCTTTATTCCCACTCCCCTTTGGAGTTCGTATCCCTGGAACATTTTCCTTTTTATTATTGTTGTTTCTTTTTTTTTAACAAAAAAAACCTAAATAACTTATTCGTCTAAAAAAATGCAAGCATCCAAGTGGCCTGCCCTCTGCAATAGAAATAATAACATACATAAAACTATGTGTTATTATGTCATGCAGTTCATTGTAAGTTCTCAAGGTTTTTTTATGCATCAATATGGCAAAATACAATTAGAAGTAATAAAATACATAAAAGCACAAGCAAAATACCAGACTTGGTCCATGTTAAGAACATTTAAATCCAAAAACAAGACATTTGAATGTTGAAAATTGCAAGAGAATAATTAATCAAGTACCTTGTTTTTCCTATTGTCCCACCAGTTAACGGGATTGGCAAAGAATGCTTGCCATAGTTCTTGTGTGGACCCCCCCATATTATCAACAGCACCACTGCCGAGCTTTCTCCCTGCGGAGAAATTTGATAGGATCAAATAATAAGATTCTGAAGCAAAGTGTCATACCAATAATCTTAAATTAAAGAATATCCCGTATCCCGTGCCTTCCATTGCAGAATTAGAGTCTTGATCACAATGAGGGGCTGCTGAGTTGCTTCTTTCTATAAAATTCAGTTGCTGAACTACTACCTGCAAAAGATATGAAAGCATCAGAATCTACTTCATGAATCAACAGAAAACCATGGAACAATGAGAACAAGGACGGGAAAACCTTATGGTAAGTTTGCTGTTTTCCATCATCAGCTTCAACTACATCTGCGACCATCCGGCCAGATACATATATCTGGTTGCCTTTCTGAATGTGTTGAGAAGCAACATGTGCCAATTCATCCCAGAATGCTAAATTTATCCTGAAAGAGCAAAATATTGATCTGGGTCATAGTCCTAATTGTCTTTACATTTGAGGTTCAAGATTGAAATGTTATGTTGTATCTCTCTATAAATCTGAAGTTTAAAGTTCTGCCGTGCAAAGAAATGAAAGTAGCACTTTGTGGAAGATTTTGCTGGCAAGAAATGGGGAGTCTTTCAACAATGTCATGCCTTTTTTTCCCATACTTTTCCCTCTCTATCTTAATTTAACTTGTTTCTCATCATCAAAGAAAACAAAAGTTTGATAGGAACCAAAAGTTGAAAGGGAGGCTAACAAAAATGCTATCGGAAATGCTAAGCCAGAGCAGAGTGACGAAGGATAACAAAGTGTTTGAAAGATTTAGCCCACTAACTAACACACCAGGGTACTACCAGGCTTCTTTCTGGTATGTCAAAAGGAGTGAATCAGTTCGATTTGCCTTTTGAGTGGTCTGACTTGAGAATTTGCTGGGTTTTGCTATCTTGTGGGGCGTTTGGCTTGAAAGAATAATAGGATATTTGGAGAGACAAAGAGACCGTGTCACAATGTTTGGGTGGTGATGAAGTTTAATGCCTCCTTGTGGGTGTCAATTACTAGGTCTTTTGTAATTATGATCTTAGTATAATTTTGTTGGATTAGAGTATCTTTCTATAGGTCACTATGCCTCCTTGTGGGTGTCAACTTTTAATATTTCAATATTTTAAAGGTTCAATAGGAAACTAGTGGCTATCCAACTCTCTATTCAAAAGCAATTGAGCCAGCCCCAAGATGGAGACATCATGAGTTTTCCATATTATTAAGCTCAATTTGAACGGGAAGAAATCAGTCTAGAATGAAAAATTGATAAATGTCCAAGTTTGCACAAGTCCTATCAATCCATGGTACAGACTTAATACCACATCAAACATGCAAAAACTTTGATCTCTTGTCTAACTCAGTCTGGTTGACTGGATAAATTTATCAAAGCCCAAATATCAGAATCTGTTCCCTCAAAAATCAGCAGCACTAACCATTAGTAAGGGTTCCCCTAGGAGATAACTAGAAAATAGTTGGGCATATTCCCTAGTGGTTGGTGCTCTAACACCAATTTGATAGGAAACAAAATAGGAAATGGAAATGAATGAAAATATGATATTGATAAGGCTAATGAATGGATTAGAACTACAATGGGTTGTCAAGCATTAGAGAGGCTTAGTTCTCTCCTCAGATAATACCCAATTATACACCTATCTCAAGCCACACTTTATTTATGACTACTTCTCTAATAAAATCCCTAGCTAATGACTATAATTTTCTAATAATGTAATAACATTTGTCCTACATAACTAGCACGATGATACAAACTCAAAGTAGTAAGTTTATTCACCAAAAAGACTTGTGCATCTTCCTAAAGTGCATTGAAGCATGATGGCCATCTGAGCCCAAAGTGCAAGGTCATAATTTTAAAAGTTCCACCTAGGCATGCGCTCAGGCACTCAGCTCTCGTGGTGGGAGGTGTCCTCACTGATAAGCTTCGCCAATGAACAAATGGTATTGGTGCAAAGTTATTCATAGACGATATGTAAGGAAGCTATAAGAATGATGTCTCCATTGTTCAAAATATGCTTAGGGTTTCATTTCTTGATATAAAAGTGGATCACCTCCTGAAATTTAAAGGTAGTCAGGATTCTTTGATTTAGATTTTTAGAAGATCCTTGGTCTCATCATCCATACTTCCTACCTATTTACTGTTTCCTAAACTTCAACCCCTTGCTAATTCCAATGGACATGAGTCACTCTAAGAACAATTTCAGCGGAGGCTGGCATTTTGAATTTAGAAGGAAATTAAAATAGTTGGGAGATTGAGTACTTTGGTCCCTTCAAGAACAACAATTCTTCTTTACCTGTCCCAATGACCATAGGCCAACCAATAGTCGTTACTTCATACCCCACATACATTAACAACTTTTAAAAATTACGAACATAAACAATGAAATTACAATAATTATGGATGATTAATAAGTTAAACATGGTGAAAGAGCTAACAACTTGGCAGCTGAGATGGGTAACAGGGCAAATCCTAACAACAGTTGGAATGAAATCATTCTAGAATGCTTTAACAGATAATATTTGCTTCAAATGCCAATTGATTAGTGGACTTCATGGTAGGATAGATTTAGTGAAATAACACTTTTTTAATTTGAAAAATAAGCTTTTGTAAGATGGAAACTACAGAGCAAAAGCTATACAAACAAGAAAAATCCAATAAACGAGCCAAAAATTACAAAATACATAATAACAACAATAAACTTCCATTGTTAAGAATTTTAGAATGCGTCAAAATCCACACATCCTCTCTGTCAACGCCCAAATAGAGGCATTTGAATAAGTTCCTTCCAAACTTGGTAAAACCCGAAAATTTATATGAAACAAAAGTTCATTTAAAGATTCGTATGGTTTCCAAATTCTACTGAAATTGAGACAACAATTTTGGGATGCCACTCCCCCGTAATCAGAAATATAGTCTATAACCACGGTCCTAAAACTTCCATATTCTTAACATCTCAACTCCAAACTACACAAGAGCTTATTCTTCATATTCGAAAATAATTTAATCCTCATAAGCATCCCCCCGAAAATAAAAATCACATTATCATTCAATATTCTATAAAATGTAACCATAAAAACCCATTTCGGAAAGAACATTAGATTAGTACCAAGATGTTTCAGTAGATGACTTCCACACAGCAAGTCGCGTCCGCGCGACATCTTTGCCCGATGGTAGGTGCTTGAGCTCCACGGGCGTACCAACTGTCCCGATGAGACTGACCGAGTTACTGAGCTCCTTCTTCCATGGAATTTCGGAAGGTTTGGGGTAGGACACAGAGTAAATGCTGTAGTTTTCCATAGCCAAGCATTTTAGGAAACGAGTAGCGAAACGGCTGTGTTTAGCAGCGTTCAGATGCGAGGGAAAATGGGAGAAGGAAGCGACTCGTGACTTGTTTCTAGAGAAGGAGAAGATGCAGTTCTTTGATAAAAATGACGACGAAAGAGTTAGGGTTTTCTCTACCGCCATTATCATCGCTCTCGATTTCCCTCTTATCTTCGACTGTGTTCCTTTGTGTGCGCGCCAACCTCTTGGCCGAGGGTTTCATTAAAGGGTTTTAAATTTTTAAATAATAATAAGTTTTAAAAAAATGAATAATAAAATAAAAATATTTTTTTTTTAATCAATTTTTATCCTAAAATTTCTATAAATTTTTCATTTAACATTATTAAACCTTAAAACTTAAATATACGTTACAATTCGTATTAAATTCATTGACTATTTTTAGCATATATATATATATATATATATATATATATATATATATATATCTTAAAATTCAATAATAATAAAAAAATAAGTTTTGTACAAATTCAATCCAATCAACTTAATTCAACGATTGTATATACATAACAAGTCACATCCAATTTGGCTTGTAGTCAATATCAATGGTGAACTCTCCTACACGAGCGCACTTGCCAAAAAGTCTCCCCTTAATTTTACACAGACCCAAGAGATTTGAAGAGGAAAAATAGACCACAATCGTAATAAGAGCAACAAGGTAATAGCCATCTTAGGTTCTTCCACCTCTCTTTCTCATTATGTCGCATTTCAAGATCCTCGGGCAAATCAAGACAACTGGTTATTCAAATGGGGCAAAAGAATGGTGTAGAAACTCAAGTTCACCGATAGCAAATATTATCTGTTTTAGTCTGTTACATATCATCTCAGCCTCACAATTTTTTTACACTTTTTACGAGGAACGTTTCGTTATCCTCTTTAAAATGCCAATTAAATCAAATCAATCTCATAAATGTTTTTTTAAAAAAAAGAAGCGGACCCCACAAGAGAAGGCCCCACGCTGTTTCATTTTGCCCTATCAATCAAGTGGGACCCGCTCATCACATGAACCTGTTTTTAAATGCCTTAACTCGATCCGACGGTCCAAGATTGGGCTCTTCAAAACCTAATCTTGGCCGTTTGTTTTTGGTCAAAGGTCTTTTAATACGATTGGCTGTAATTGTCTAAGGGTTGTCTCCTCCACGTCGGACTACATCCTCCAGCGTGTCCTTCTTTTGGGAAACATTCATATCTGTCGCCTGACACACACGGGATGCTCTACACCACGTGCCACAGCCACATAATTAGCCTAGCGCCCACGTGTCATCATATTTGTATTTCTTTGTTATTTAAATTAATTAATGTTCGATATTTTTTCCTAATATAAATTAGAATAAAGAGTTAGATAATAAGTTAAATAAATTTTCACAATTTATAAAAAAAAATCTTAATAAAGGCTAATTTTAAAAATATATTTGGAAAATACATAGCCACACAAACAATTTTCATAGAAAATAAAATATCATAAATGCAAAGAGAAGACACGTGTCAAATAACTAATGGTAGAGTTCATGTAGACCATAATTTGCTTCTTCCTATTATATATATTCCACATTATCATCAATTCTTCACAGTTTTCATTTCTCTCATAATCCCTCCAACAATTTAACTTCTAAAGCCCATGGCGAAAATGGCAGTTTCTAACCACCGAGATCTCCAAGCCACCGAGCTCCGTCTCGGCCTCCCTGGCTCCAACGAACCCGATCGCTGCAGCGGGTTAAAGCCGAACAAGAGACCCTTTTCAGAGATTGATAAGGAAAGTAACAGCAGCGTTTCGGATGCCGGGAATTGCCTCGATCAAAGCTCCGAATCTCCTCCCTCCAAGTAAGCACAAAAAAACTCAACTCAAATTCGAGTTTTAGATCTAATAACGACTTAAACATAACTAGTTCTCAACTAATGTTAAGTATTTATTATAGGGCACAAGTTGTTGGATGGCCACCGGTTCGATCGTACCGGAGGAATTGTTTGGCCGGAAAGAAAACCGAGGTAGAAAGTTGCGGCGGAGTGTACGTAAAAGTGAGCATGGACGGAGCTCCATACTTGAGAAAGCTTGATCTAACCATTTACAAAAGCTACACTGAGCTCGTGAAGGCCTTGGAAAACATGTTCAAGTTCAATCTTGGTAAGAAAAAAATAAAAATTAAAAACTTAAGCTTTTGAATTACGTAGCTTAACAAATAATCTTGTTCGATCTCTTAGGTGGTTACTCGGAGAAAGAAGGTTTCAACGGATCGGATTATGCTGTAACTTACGAAGACAAAGATGGCGACTGGATGCTCGTGGGTGATGTTCCATGGGAGTAAGTTGATTTATGAGATCTTTACCATCTAATTTTGTTCTAATCCAAAAAGACATTTCTCATGTGAAACTTAAAATTTCAAAATGTACAGAATGTTCATCTCGTCTTGCAAAAGGATGAGGATCATGAAAGGAACAGAAGCAAGAGGGTTATCGGAGAACCGCCATTGAAGCAAGCTTTTCCTGACAACAACTAATGGCTATAACACGAGAAAGAAAGGATCCATATAAAAAAAAAAAAAAAAAAAAAAAAAGTTTTTTTTAGATCTTTATTGTTTGTAAAAGAATAATTTAGATCCAAACTGTATAGACATATACATTATCGACAATATTATTATACGAGCAATATTTGAATGCATATTAAATTATACGAGCAATATTTGGAGCAAAAAAAAATAACGGTTTTCTTATTAGTGCAAATATTTATTTAAAAATAAAATAAAGTGAAAATAGTTTAAATAAAATGCATAAGATGAACAAGTTACTTATTGAACTGGTATACGGATGGAACCTCATTTATCTAATACGATATCACTCCATCATGTAATCCAAATCTAATAGGTACGAGTTAGGGTATAGTTTTTTTTTTTTTTTTTTTTTTTTTTGAACTTGTAAAATATTTAATATTGAACTCTGGGTTGAAAACGAACGTCATCGTATCCACTTACATCATGATCTATTATTTACGAGAACATTGGCATTACAGGTCCATTACAATCATGGTTGAATTAGGGTGGAAATACTTATACACGTTCTTCATGATATTAACCAGTTTCTCGTACTTTTCTGCATTGATATTCTCATCTTGTTCTCAGATACTAACTCCCTCGAATATCGAACTATTCATAGAGTAAATATTAAAATCGAGTAACCCTACAGAACATAGCACATCATACACAAAGACGTGGGACACGTCGAAAGAGATTAGGTTAGTGACATTGGATGTGAAAGGAAACAAGTCCACGAGCAAAGGATTTGCACCAAACAAAGACAGCAAAGAGAGGATAAGAATTAGAAGATAAGTTGGAGATATGCAAGTAATGTCACACTCCAATAGCTCTCTCCTTCATAATTGCTTAACAAATCCATTGTTCTCCAAATCTCTCCCATTACCCTACAAAGCTTTTGTGGAATATAAAATTTTAGGGTTTATTCCGACTCTCGAGCATCATCGTTGATACTTCTCGATTAAACGCGTAAGTTTCGGATTGGAAATCAGTACAATACCCAATAAGTGGCTACAGCTAGCGTTTGAGTTTAAACTATGTTCGATTGAAAATAGTTGAAGATATATACCTTAATCAGTTAAGTTACTCGACAATTTTTGTTACTGCAATGAGCGAGAACATGAATAGATAATTTCGAGACAAGAAAACTACTCTTTCATTAATGCATTGGATCCTCACCCTTTTTCATTTTTGTTGCTTTGGTAGATTGAAGAATCAAATGGTCAATCTCATTGGAAACTACTTTTTATGTGTTCTATGCATTGAATCTTTGCCCAATTATTGTTTAGTTGAAAGGAAATGTTCTGAATTTATTGTTAATTTTAAATATATACCTATTGTGAGTCTCGAAGGTATAGTCAAAAGTGACTAAATTATCGACGTATGATGTTCGAGGGCTCTAGAAAAAGGAGTCGAACCTCGATTAAGGAGAAGCTATTTGAGAGCTCCATAAGCTTCCGGGGAGGCTTATAGTATACTTTGTTCGAGGGGAGGATTGTTGAGGATTATTGGGAGTGAGTCACATGTTGATTAATTTAGTGGAAAATCATGGGTTTATAAGTGAGGAATATTATCTGGTAGCGGAAAGCAAAACTATGAGAGTTTATGCTCAAAGTTGAACAATATCATACTATTGTGGAGAGTCGTGATATTTTAAAAACTATTAAATAAATGATTATTCTAATCATAAATTAAATTGGGTAAATAATAATAATAATAATAATTTTCCAAACCAAGAATATTTAATTAATTAATAAAAAGGGTAATTAATGCAAGGAAGTGATGGATTCCATCAATTTTGGACACACGTGTGACACAAAATATGATGGACTTTGACTTGTGGGCTCTCCTCCCACACGTGCGTGTTTCAGTCTTTGGACTTGTATACATTGGCCCAATTAACTCAACCGCTACTCCCCCACCTTTCTTTGATCCATCTCTTTCATCTTTTATTTGGATATTATAAATCATTTTGTTTTTAATTTTATAATTTAAACCAATTTTTTATTTTTTAATTCACTAAAAAAAAAAAAAAAAAATCTAACCTTTTAGTCGAAAATATATTTTTAATATATTGATTTATACTCAAATTAATAAATATAATTTTGAGTTTGTCGGTACAAATTCTTAAATTTTAATATTTTCATTGTCGTTGTCATTTATCTTTTCTCTCTATATCAAGGCCCGCTTATTAATATGTCAATTTGAACATAATTCAATGAATAAAATATTTATAATATTCCAAAAGTTATAATTATATACTCAAAGCAAGGGAATATTTATTATTAGCTTAGGATTTTTCATATCTCGTTAGCTTAGGATTTTCTTTAGGTCAAAACGTAACACTGTCTCTAGCTTCCAATTAGCTAATATAATAAATCCGACTAACCTAAAGACCAAAAAGACCAAATCATCTTGACACAACATTACCATTAACATGATCTTACAACGAAATCCTAATTAAATTATTTGCTTATAAGAACTTGGGTTGGTTTGTAGAGATAATATTCACTTAGAATCAATTTAAGATATTTAGGTAACGTTGACATGTCACACGGGAACGTTAGGTTCATCGGGTAAACCTATAATTATTAAAATATTAGTCTTCAAAGAGAGGGATGAATTAAAAGGGAACATGAACATTGGTTCATAAAGATACACACCATATAATA